TTTAGAATGAAAATATTGTCCGTTCTAGCCTCGACATATCAATGGACCGTATCCAACAAGATACGCATGTATGATAGAGATAGCCTCGAGTATAAGATACGAGGAGCTGCTCTCGTGAACCTCAAGACGATTATTATTCCCTCGTCCGGGGGACCAAGTGACTCAGTCTCCTCTTCTGATCTGATTAATTGAAGCAGCCTAATTTCTGTATCACATGCGCGACGTATGTGATGTGTGTTACTAAAAACAAACGAATTAATGCGAAATATCGGAGAGAATTTTCTTTTAAAATTTACCCCGAAAATCATGTAATCGTGGGACAACGTGGCATTTTGGAGAACTTTATGGGAATTTTCTGAAATTTTACCATACATTTTACTAGTAAATACATTTACTAGTAAAATGTATGGTAAAATTTCAAAAAACCCTCATAAAATTCTTCAAAATGCCATGTTGCCCCACGATTACCTGGTTTTCAGGATAAAGTTTAAGAGAAAATTCCCCCCCCCCCCCGTGCAGCTGTATTTGTTTCTTTCACATTTTGCTCTTTCACCTAAAGATACATGTAGAATACTTTAAAAATATTCTTTATATGTAACTCACAGATGAGAATTAATATAGATTTTCAGGCATGCGCTCGGTTGCAAGAAAAATAACAGAAAGAATGGGTTAAAGATAACTGGAATGAGTTGTAGCGAATAAAAATACTTCTCTATTTTTTTTCAGATAAAAATACTTGCTTCTATTGCAACAAAAAGTCAATATATAAAATATGATTAATTGATTAGAAGCGATTTAGGGTAAATGGCAGCGGAAATAAAAGATCCTGTATGACTGGCGTTCTTTAAAAGCCGCGTTATGCCAGAGGAATTTCGATTCATCTGTGAATGGGGCTCCTGTTTTACGTCTCCGCATTTAGGAAACTATGAGATCCAGAATAGATAGGCGATAAAAGCGCTGAAAGCCATTCGCGGGTGAATATTACTTGGAGAGTTTAAATTGTCCTTTCTGCTCGGAATAATCGTCACTTTGCATTTTAATTGTTGAAAGATTTCAATTTTAAACTGTCAAGGAGTGTCAGTAACATAGCCCTTTGTATAAATTTTAAGTAGAATATAAGAAACAGCTGAAAAATGTGATTTTTGGTTGAAACTTTTTTAAGAAGTCTCAATTAACTGCGCGATAATTACAAAAGTCACGGTTTTACAGTTATAGAAGGCTTTTTACCGATTCCGTCGACAAGATAATGATCAACGGAACACCACGTGGATCCAGAAAATCTCTCGCTAGGAGCGATGCGCCGTCTCAGCGGCGCGCCTGCGCCGGGCCCGAATGCCGCGATGGTCGGTTCATCCCCGAGAAATATTCGAATATCCGCTCAGTTCCATCGCGTCTCACGCTAGAGATCGGCTTTACACTCGTCGACTCCCGTGTGTTTATTTTCTTTTTAATCTCTCAACTAAATCCAGGATAATATCGATGAATTTAAGTGCTAAGGAGTTACGTCTCTCTCGCGTTTCCATTAAAAAGTAGTATGTTATATTGAAAGGTGTTGTTTATATACTAAAATTCAACATTATTATTGTTATATACTATTACATGATATCAATACCGATTTTGATTGACATTCTCAACGGAAGAGAGTCTTGATGTATCAATTGTGTATTGAGTGACCGTTTATTGCAAACACGGACAATACTTCTTTTTAGTGATTTGAGATGCACGGATGGAGCGGATGAGTGCACAGATCGTAGTAGCAGCGTGAAAATGAAAATAAAAGCGGAGGATTACTATGCCAGACGGAGCGCCGAATACTTCGGTAATTATCCACATAGCCGCAATGCTGAAGTTAAATGCTTGATTTAAGGTAAAGAGCATAATAAACCGATCTTTTGTAGAAAACTGTTTTTTTCCCCAATTCGGTTACCAAAGACCAATCCGGTTGTTGCAAATAAATAAAAATCAAATCAATGGAACACTGTACGTATACATTTCACGTATATTGCATAATTTAAAAAGTTTATAACAATAAAAATGTAGAATGTTGTTTCCTCACGCCGCGCACTCATTTGCATCTTTCACAAATTCTTTATAAAGGCGTCAGCTATCGCATCCCGATGCATCCAATGCAGGATACGTAGTATGTTAATGAAATGCAAAGCCAGCCGCATGTGAGTCGAATACAGATGAGATTGAGGTAGTATCAGATTTATGCGGACTTTCTGTCAATTCTTTGTTCGAAAATTACTTTATTCGAACCTTAGCCACTTAAAATTACGATAACGTAATTTATTTATTAATTTTCCTTCTAATGTAACATTCGCATAAAAGGCATTGTAAATTATTATTTAAAATCTCCTAAATAAAAATCGAATTTACTTATCACTGTTTCATTATTGAAACTTTTGCTTCAAGAAAGTTGTAAATTTTATATCTCAACTCTAAACATATTAATATAATTAATAGCAACAAATGTATATGTGTTAATTTCGACATCTCTATTTCTTTGCTAAAAGACTTTTTACTCAGAATTATTCTACATAATTGTTATGTATGATATGATATGAATAAAATTGAAAATAACAATAAAAATATCCGTAAAATTGTCTTCGCCAAAACAGATTGTTTGTAAAGTGAATTAGAAAAAATATAATATCACCATAACTTGAAATATTCCCTCTATAAATGATTACAAATATAACGCAATCAATAAATTACATTCAAAATTATACAAATACAATGCAAACGGATTACATTGGCGAAACAAAGTGAAGATTTAATTCAGTCTATCGCGCATATTTGGCCTACGGTTGTATAATACCGTCATTGTTTGACGAGACGGACGATTCGGACGGGGAACTCGGAACTTAGCATTCATCGTGTGTGCAGGAAAAATTATGGGCATCGCCTAATTCGTCTTGCCGAAGCCGAATGTGAAAACAATGTACGCGGGGTGGGGCCTCGAAATAAACGGTACGATTTCCTCCCGCGAGTGCCTTCGAGCAGTCGTACTTCGACATCCGTGGGCCGTCCACGGTTAAAAGTCGTCCTCGAGAAAAGGCAAAGATCTTGTTCTGGCCAACAAAGCAATGTTATTAAAGCGCGCGAGAGTCGTACAACCAGTGACGCTCAACCGCGATCGCGAATAAACAGAAGATAAAAATTTGGACTATCATTCAGACGAGAAACGGGGGGTCGGTGCCTCGTTCTCCAACGATTTTTCTCTCGAATCGGATGCGTTCGCAAGAGAGGATGGTCGATACCTGCGCCAGCCCTCGACCGCGAAGACGAGACCGGCCGAAGTTTTTAGATCTTTCCGCGACAACACGTAAGTCGAAGCGAGAGAACGTGTGCTCTCGAGAATGCGAAGTGCGAACGCGCGTACATATGTTGCGTCTTGGCATAATCTGACGTGCGTCTCTTCGAGTGCGTTGATCTTTTTGCAGCAATTATCATCATTCAGGAGCGACCCACGACCCACGTGCATTATAAACCGACTGTATTTCGCGCGATATCATCGCCGCGGTTACTCGTCGTGGTTGGCGGCCACCAGTGACAGTTAAAGTTAAAATCCACGAAACAGTTTATAATATAATAATTTTAATAGAAAATGATAATGTAAAACATAATTATGATAAATATTCTGTATACAATAAAATATGATATTCGAGTAACATAACAAACTTGAAGGATAAATTTCAGATGATCTTATTTTTCGCTACGATCAGGATGTGATAAAAATACTAAAATTTCTGCAATTTCTAGTAAAAGAATTAACAAATAGTGTTATGAATGTCGGTAAATAAGGCAGAAGGACGCGCGTCGCGTGCGAAGAATGTTGAAGGAAGTAACATTAACGCCGTCAGTTAAGTAATTAAAACTCTATGCAGGGATTATGTAGGGACTATGTGATATACACGAAGTTTACTTTGAGCAGGTTTAACTTGGCGTCACGAGTAATGAATCCAATTTAAAACCGGAAACACCGAAAACGGAGGCCACGCGCCTCACGTACCGGAAGTAAAAGTTGTCCCTCCCGTTAATAGAATAAAGATCACAGAACTCTTTCTTTTTTATCCACCACTGTTATAAAATGTTTTATTGGCAAACGACCTTCTCATTGTATAAAATATAAGAATGTGCAAATCGAAAACAATGAAAGTGCTTTTCTTCATTCGATCTAGAATCAATTTTGCTTTAAAGAACCTTAAAATAATTTCTGAAAAATTTCTTCAAACTATTGAAATCTCAAGATATATATAAGTTTCTTATAAAAATGTTAATATTAAATGTAAAAATGACATGTAAAAGTGAAATAAATGATTATCAGGTTGTCACTTACGGACTCAATTGGAACGAAATGGTCACGCGTACTCTGCGCGTCCGCATTATGCATCAACAATATCACGTTAAACTCGTTGAATTGATTCGAGTCACCGGCTGCACCGGCACGCTGATTCCGCGTTAGAATTTTACAGAACTGTTTCATCATTTTACAGCCATTGTTCTCGCGTGTGGCAGGAGGTAGGGCCCGCGTTATTCGCGGCATTATTTCATCAAACATATTACAACCGCGTCGCGTGCTCTGTGATGTGCGTCAAACGAAATTAAATGCACTCCCCGTGCGTCACGACAAAGCTAAATCAAGGTTGCTTGTGACACATATACAGGAAACATTTTGCAAATTAAAGGGCGGTCAGGTAGGGCAGCAAACCAACGCAACGGGAAGAAACCCAGAATCAGTAGCTGGTCTGCCGTGTAAATGAATGTTAACTAAAGTTAGCGAAATAGTTAAATCGTAATTAAATCGAAATACTATTTTAACGCGGTTATTTATCAATGAAACTATCCACAATCCACTCCTGTTTCCAGAAAGATATGTTTTGCCATTTGCATTTCTATTTAATGCTCTTGGTGAACTTTTTTTACGTCCACATATGAGAAGCAATCTTGACAGATACTCAAGTCAATTAATTTGATGTTTCAATTGCTTGTTTCAGGGTCGCATTCGGCTACGGTCTTATCAAGGGACGGACACGCAGTGGACGATGTCGTCTTGATCTCTAGCAAGGAAAGCGAGGCTTCTAATCTATGGGTTGACTATCTCACCGGATGTTTCGAGCAAATCAGCCGTCAGCAAGGACGACCACCGTTCAGGTAAATAATAAAGCGAAGTATCTTGGTCGTGGCACAATTTCGAAATAAAAAATTTCAATCGATAACATCTCCGACGCAGAGTACGTCACATCGCGATCGAAGAGCCGATAGCGCCGAAAACGGAAGAGGAGATCCGATCTTCTCGTCTCCAGATCGTCATCGTGTGCCCTATATTACTGGAACGCGTCCGGACCAGTCCGGAGCATACCGTCCATCTGACCAGCCACCTGGTCGCCGAGAAGGTACTGGCGATGATGCTGGGCGTCCATGACAGTCACATCAACGACAGTCATAGGTCCAGCCTGGTCTCCTACGACCAGTGGAGGAAATTCTTCGTCAAGGACCAGAACGAGACGTTTGTGAGTGAGTTGCTGGGCGCGGCGGTCGCCATTCTAGGCACTACGCCACCGCCAGCTCTCAGAAGCGATAAAACTGCATTCTCCGTGCACCCGAAGAAGGTCAAGTTGGTAAGTGTAATTGTCATATGGTTGTAAAAGAAAATTCGTATCAAATACTTCAGGACAAACTTCAACATTGCAGGAAATGCAAAAAAAAATGTCTAATCTAAAAAATTCAAAAAACTATCCAGCCCTTTTAAGATCTATTGGCTTCATACGAGGAGTAAACCGCTGACCAAAATTATGTACACCAATGCCTACTAATTCCCAGTGGGCATTGCTTTATCTTATTACCTTATTTCATTTATCTTTATACTACTCCAGCAAGACCTAATGCCTAAACTAATACCCCAAAAATGCCTAGTAATGCCCAGTAACGCCGTAAATCTGTACACCACAATGCCCTCAGCGGTTTACCCCTTGACTTCATATTAATAAAAACGTCTGTTGTTAATAACGTTCGAGTAATAAGGTTGGAAAGACATCCTATATATTTTTATTATTAATAATAATATTAATTTTTTATTATTATTAATTTATTATTATTAATAATAATAAAATATTATGCTGATAAAATTCATACGAAAAACGCTGGAATACTATATTTTCCATTCTCCAAATACTAAAAGAATTTTATAAAATTTTAAAGAGAGTCAACGAATTAAAAATGATAATTGAAAATTCGACGATACTACAAAGACTCGAAGTAAACAAATATATGCACTGTGTTTGCAGGGGCAGAATAGGATAATCGTTTTGCTAAACGATCCGCTGAGTCCTAGGGACAACGTCTCTGTGATTGTCGATCGTTGCGGGGATGCGATCGACATAAGCAACGTGAAAAGAAGAAACCCTTACGCGCTGCAGTTTTCAATACCAGAAAGATGTCTCGAAGTCTCCATGCTGGTCGGCGTGAGAATAACCAAGAATGGATGTTCGCTCGGAGTTAGACAAGTCAAATGCGAAAGCAGACTCAGGGAATTAGATCAAATTCTCAGAGCGCACGATAATCCTTTGGAATTTATGTGCCAGGTAATTTAATTAGAAATTCTCTACAAGAATCACTTTAATTTAATACTACAATAATAGGCTTTCATGATAATCTAAACTCGACTATTTTAGTTTATACCCTTCACTGTCGACTATTTTATTAAAAAAAAAAAAAAACAGACAATTTAACTCGATCATTTTATCATCTTCGTTATAAACGATCAACATAATCGTTAGATATTTAATTCATTATTGCGTTCTATTTATAATTTTCTATTTATTACAGACTTTCGGCTTTAGTTCTACTGACCGAGATCAGTTGGACAATTGGATGGTGCATGCAATTCAGAAGAATATCCCTCCTCATTTCAATCTTTTGTCCACCCCGAGCGGTATGGTGTCTTCTCACAAAAATTATCTGAGTAAGTAGCTTCTAGTTTCACAGCATTGGGATATGTCACAATGTTGGAGAGAATAAGAATTGCCGAGCAAATGCAAACTTGTTGGGAGACTGCTATTTTTTATAGATCATGATTTAATCTTCGGATTCGTTTCAGGTTCAGAGGAGAATCCGACATTGCTGCATTTCGCCGCGCGATTCGGCCTGGAGAAACTGGCGTGGCAATTATTGGAATGCCCTGGTGGCGATCAGGCGTGCGACTTGAAAAACGTTTCCGAGCTGACACCGGCCGATCTCGCCGACCAAGCCGGACACGCGAGACTAGCCCATCAATTGCGGGGCTACATGGTACAAAAACCTCGCCTTTAGACCGACATCGCAAATAATTGAGCACAATCGGTACTACCGCGATATTTTATTCTTTTCTCAAGGCATCCATTATACGCGTGTTCATTTTACAAACTTGCCAAAAATAAGGCGCGGACTTCAAGGAAGAAAATAAAAATTTTACTTAATTAATAAAGGAGAGTCCCTCCCTATTATGAGATACGCTCCTAATACGAGACAGTGAGGTTTCTGCTAAATTAATAAGCATCATCCGTTAACTTCGTCATCAATTTATTATCCTTGGAGTAAAATCTGTTTGGTGGAAAGATTCGTTGTTAGATCGCGCGTGTAACTGTTGCAAAGTAGATACGTAAAATAGATGCTGAAAGCTCGCTATCTTTTATTAATAGCCTATCTTATAACAGGAGACTTTCCTCTACATGTATCAAAATGAAAGAATTACTCTTCTCGTCTATTTCTTCATTTAATCTCGAAAGATGCAAGTATTTGTCTCATTACAATAGTGGGAATTCGACGAATTCTTACATGTCTATTGAGGATTAAATAAAGAGATGAGTGAGTGGTAAACTTTATTATAATATATTAAATAAGAATATTTTTCTTATTTTTCAAGTCTTGCTTTTCAAGAACTTCCTTCGTTTATCTTGGAGCAAAAATATCTCGTGGAAAGCATTGCACGAAGTCGCATACCATTCAATTTAATGCTCATCGAACCATAAATGATCGACGAACTAATAAATTAACTCTACGTTGCATGTTTCGGTCGTCAATTTGGATTCCGATGGGCGAAACTTCAGCAAATGAACGAGTTCACCAACATGTATAGCTACCTCAAAGTTATGAGTCAATCGAGTAACCGATCAACAGGTACTAAAGTATATACGGCTACAACAATATTACGAAAACATAACAACTCTCTTAAAATTCGGAAAATGATTACAATTGACATGAAAATGTGTAATACACAACAAAATTATTTAGCACAAATAAAAAGATGATAATTTTACATTGAAAAAGAAATTAAAAATGTCAGAAATAAAATTGTTTTATACGAGACTTTGTTTCCAAATTTGCAAATTGAAAACTTGATAGGGTCTTTTTACCTCGAGTAAAACTTTCAATAACACTATCCGAAAAGTAACGGACCATCCTGTATTTATGTAGCACTCCGTTGAATAAGAAATTTATTATAACATAATTCTCATTAATTTTAAGAGGAATTTAGGGATAATACGAGTATGTATTTAGGAACGAATTCGATCACGGACATCTCGTCGACGATCGCGAACGAAGCCAGCAACGAAAAGGAAGATTATTGCCGACCAAGACCCTTGAGCGAGGCTTACTTGGTGCCACCGATCGCAAGACCGGTAACGATTCTGATCCCAAGTGTGCAAACAGCGAACGCCTCTGGTACGACCACAAACACCTTAGCCGCAAATTACTCGATCGTGCCAACGCCTACGCCAGTAATTAATAACCAGCTGCCACCCACACCCACGACCTCGGTCACGTCAAACGGACTGGATACGTCCTTCCAGGGTTACATGAAAATGCATGCCGCCGGTAAATATCCTGAACTGTCATGCACAATTTCACGGACAGTTATTATGTGTATAATAACTATATCGTATAATTCGCAGATTCTTTTACTACGAATTCTCTTCACCATAACGTGATCGGCAAGTATTTAATAAATGTATAGCTTATTCTTGTGGAATTGATGAAAGAATTCGATAATTCTATACAAAATTATAACAGCGTTTTTTCACTTCAATGTTATCTGATTACTTGCAAAAACAAATGTACGCCTGACAAATATTTCCAACACGAATCGTAATTAAAGGTTCAAAAGCACCCGCAATGGCTACAACGAATCTACCACCGTCCCGAACGAACACACCTACTCGTCAGGAATATCATCAAAGTTCCTCGGTAACGCGAGAGGATAATTGCGGGCAGAAAATGTGTCAGAATCATCCCTATGGCAGAACGTCGTCCAATAGCAGTACTAAGTCCAGAGAACCGTCAGGCCCCCAGGACGAGCTCCTGGAGATAATAAACGATTTCAAAAACAACGTCTTCACGATATCCGAGGTAGAGAGGCTCGTTGAAAATTGGCAGAAGCGAAACGACGTTCAGCAAAGTTTCAAGGATAAGCAGCGGCAACTTACGGCAATGCGGGAGGAATACGACAGAATACAAAAAAGGATGAAAGAAGAGATGAAGACCCCGACGCCCTTCGACAAGATACGAAAATTCTTCTCCAAAGGGAAGAAAGGTGAGTGCACTTTCGCAATAACTCTAGAATCATTTTAGCTTGACTGTCGAACGACTGATGAATTTTTCGACTGACGTTGGTTACAGATACGAAAGAATCTGTTGCCGCTGCCACCGATTCCTCTACGAGCAAGTCGGAAAGTATTAATAGCGGATTAGCTGAGCGCCGGCCTATCAGCAGTTTAAGTCTTCGTAGTGTTTCTAGTAAGTAAATCTAATAAGATTATATTCTAATAATATAATAATTATGTAATTATATAATAATTCAGAATATCGTTAAGATCTTTCAAGGCCCAAGAGTTCTGAAGCGGCCCGGGAAAAAAATGTCGAGGAACGTCCTCTATTATGAGATAGGATTCTAATGTGAGATAGTAGGTTTTCGACGTCCAAATTCAATTGCAAGTCTTTTTTCGCAACAATTACACGATCTAACGATCAATTTTCTACTAAACAGATTTCACTCCAAGGGCAATAAATTCGAGGTGAAACCAACAGATGATGCCTGTTAATTTAGCAGAAACTCCGTTATCTCATATTAGGGGCCTAACTCATAATAGGGGACTTTAACGAGTATATCACACTCAGATATAAGCAGATATGAATTTTGTCCCTAGCCAATCGTATAGAGTTAGATATACTCATTGTCAAGGCCTTACAAAACACTCAGAAAAAGATTGAGAAATTGAATACATTTTGAAGATCTTTTAAATACTCTTTTAGAACTTTAATTGTACTTAAAGAATTATTTGACGCCAGTACTTTATTAACCAATGTAGAAAAATTGTTAAACGGCGCTACCTGGCAAATTCTAACTAAAGAAATTTATTGCGAAAAATATTACCTCAGCCAGGGTTTAAACCTGGCCTTTCCTACACTCTAGGCGGGGCGTCTCACCAATTCGACTTCGAATTGTTGTCGAATTGAAAATTGTCGAAAAAGAAGCAATTTATTTAATTAGAATTGGCCAGTTAGCGTTGTTTAACAATTTTTCTACTTTTATTATACTGTTGCATTATTGGACATTCTATTTGTTGCATTTATAAAAGTCTACGAAATTCCTTAGGTTCATCGTCGTCTGGTAGAATGAGCACCGTCAGCGGTTGCAGCGGTGCGAGCTTGGGCGACAGTGGAACCCATTCCGATTCCGAAGACAGAAGAGTACGTACGATATCACAAATTATATACAGAAGTAATAAACCCAGCGAAATAATTATCAATCGGCAAAGTAAATCAAAGAAATGACAATCACAATTGTCCAAAATTTTAATTTTCAGTTCAACCCAAAAACCGAGTTTCCTTCACTTTGAAAAGTTATGCTAATTAAAATATTGTTATGTTAATTGAAGTATTAAAAATAATATTCAATCGTCGAACGTATGAATTTTATATCTGACGAAAAAATATAATCTCTGCAGAAATTATGTATTGAAAAAAATGGCAACGTTTCTGTGTTAGTAAGTTCGATCTATAATTTACTTTTAGCTCCAAAATGTCAGGGATGAAAAACCTGGCATGACGTCCTACGAAATACCACCTGCGCCTAAACCGTTCACAGGCAGGTATTCACCGGCGTCCGGGTATTCCCCATCACCGGGTCTCTCTATCACGCGTGATCTCGATCTCCGACAAGCACAGTTACCGTCCAGGGCCGACGATAACGAGTATTACATTGCGTTCCCACCGTCGGGTTTACCCGTCCATGGTAAATTAATCGAATCGATCAATCTCATTTCTAATTACTCCAGGCATCGTCTCAAACTATTCCGAGCAATATAGCAATTCAAAAAATATTTAAAAATTATCAAAAAATATCAGGCATAGTTCAGTTAATTTGACTCTAACATTTATTAATCACTGCTTAATCATTTAGATCAAACGCTGCAAACAATCTGTCGTTATTGGAATCAGAATTTATATCACTTCAACTTAATGACATAATTTTAATTCTCCCTGTTTCGAGTTTGTTAGAATTAGTTGTTTTTGGCAACATGTCAGTCAACTCATAGCATTTGGTTATCTGGGTATTGCCTTCCGAAATGTGACAATAAAAAACCGACGATGTTTGGTCGGATTTGAACTCGGATTTTTGGCTCATTAAAGCAACGCACATCTCATTGCACCACGATCGTCACACTAGAATATATTCACAATTAGTGTACAAGTCTAGTGTCTCAAGAATAAATAATCCGCAATTCTATTTTCGCAGCATTTAAAGCGGACGGTTCTCCGAGGGAATCAGACACGCCGAGCTCGTCGTGCGAACATCCGAAGTATCACGACTTCGTCCAGAACACCGTCGTCGTCGTCTCACCGGACAAACGCCAGGAGGAAACCGAAGGGACGAAACATACTGGCGACAACAACTACACGAATGTCGAACCGGTGACATCGAATTCCGCTCCAATCGCGCCGCCAGGAATGTGCATCCCAGACTGCAACGAATCGACGTCCACCGATTTCGTTCGCGCGGATCGGGAAGTCGCGGAAGAACACCTTGCCGGTACCATCGAGGCGTGTGCCGACGCCGCGGCGGCGAAACCGCCGCTCGCTCAACCTGCCGTTGACGAGGTCGACTCTGCGCTCGTTGTTCAAGGCGAAGAGACCGCCGGGACAATACGCGATGAGAAATACACGCCGGCGGACTCGGCGGACATTTCGAAGAACACAAATGAGGCCACCGAGACTAGAATGCCGGAATACATGAACCTTGCTGTTAATACGGTTCACGACGCTGCCAAGGCTTTCGGTGCTGTACCAAAGAAGTTACCTGCACCACCCGTGCCACCGCGAGGTACAACCTTTCACACTGTATAATTTTACGTAGTAGACAATGAACGTGCGACTTTTGTAAACGCAAAAGCAGAGATAATCGTTATGTTAAAGATCAAGTCAATAAAAGTATGTGTGCGAAGATGTTACGGCGACATTCTCCTATTTTCCGCTTTTCTTTCAAATCTCTCTTGTTTCATTCTTGTTACGCGAACGGAATAAATCGCGGAGTTTATATTAAAGTAAAACTCATACAATAAAAGTTAATAAAAAGTCAATGATTCTAGCGTTAGCACAATTGTCACCATTGACATTAATTAAGGCCTATTTTGTTAAACAGGTAGTTGCGTTCGATCTACGATTTACAAATTTGCATAAGCATTAAATCTCGATACGTGAAGTACAATGCAAGATAAATCACTGACCCACCGCAACAAGTTTCGAGATGCAGTTCTTAAGGAATTATTTCCTCTCCGCTCAAAGATCAAGAAAACAAGATTACGGGAATTTCTGATGAATCGTGATTGAAAAAGATGTCAGTGATTCATGTGGATGTAACTGCGACAGGAGAGTCCTTATTTAGCGATTTTATCTTCAAAGCGTTTGAAAAGCTGAGCTATTTATGTCACACATCGACGTATAGACTAATCAAATCACTTGTTAGAATATGAATTCTATCGATTTCCTCAGTGCTATAATATGTAACGCACAATTTTTTGTGATTCTTGTGAGAAACAACGAATTAAAAAACTATACATTTCAATTATAATGTAATGTAATAATAATCAACATGAAAGAATATCATAATTAAAATAGAGAATAGATATAAAGCATAATAGAAATACGGTTACATACTCAAATGGATAATCATAGATTGCTTTGTCAAATCTATTTTCAACGAATTTTTATCTGTCACGACTAAAAAAGCGAAAGCCAGAAAGCAAAGCGTATATAAAATATACGCTTTTCAGTGACAAATTCTTACGCAAATTATACACCGTGCCTTTTATGCATGAAAAATCACGACTTAAATATCGCAATATTAATAATATTAATTTAATCGGTAAAATTTATACAAGTACTTTCGTCATACTCGATAATTGTATGTGGCAAAACGTATCTATCTATAATCTACGTAGAAGAATAATGTTAAGGGCCGAGGCAATGGCTATCACTATTGCCATGCTCTCTAAAAATCAATCAGTGGATTATCACTGAAAACAGCGAATCATCACTGATATACAGTTATAAGCAGAGTTGGGAAAATTACTTTATAAAAGTATCTAGTTACAGTTACAGGTTTTTTTCGCTAAACACGTATATCCGAAAAGTAACGCGTTACAGTTGCAGTTACTCAAAAAGTAACGAATCGTTACTTTGCAGTTACTTGCTTGCAACGAAAATAAAAAGATCAAATCTGCATTTGAATTGTAAAGCGTCGGTAAAGGCGTTTATCCGCAAAGGCCTGATGCGGCCTGTAGAGGTTTAAAATATATATAAAGTAACTATTAAGGTAGCTGTTAAATTAGTTATTAGTTATCGAGAAAATGTAACTGAGTTAAGTTAGAGCTACCAAAGAAAAGTAGCTGTAACTGTAACTTCGTTACAATTAACGAGTCACTTCCCAACCCTGGTTATAAGTTTACTACTGTGATTCACACTGTAAATCAGTGACTATTCACCGTTTTCGGTGATAATCCACCGATTGACTTTTAGAGAGCGGTGAAATCAATCTTCTATTTCTATAATATACAGCGACAAATCGCAGATACTCCAAAATATATCCGAGTCCGCCCATATCCGATATTATCCGCGCAAGGTAGTAATGTTAACTCGATTACTCTCTGTGCACAGATTAAAATATCGCAGAATCAATTGCGTCTATTAATTTCCGATGCATGACTCAAACCGAGATCGTAAACTATACAATAAAGCGAGCTTCCTTGAGTCCCGCGCGTGAGAAATGTGCTATAAAAGAAAGATGATTTAAGTAATCAGGGGCGTAAACAAACTTTTTACTTCGCACTACAAAGTGTCGTTCGTTAATATTAGAAACGTAAAAATTTATGATATGCCTCTTTATTTATCATTACACACACTGCATGTAATATGTGTAAAGGTAACGAATCGCGTATTGTCTTGCCACTTGTTCACAAGACAGTAATAAACTGCTAGATCGCAGACGTTTGCAAATTACAGATGTATCTTTCCGAAAGTCAATTAGTGCGTTATAACTGTGAATCAGCGAATATTCACCGCTTTCAGTGATAATTCACCGATTGACTTGTAGAGAGCATGTTTGCACTGCCCTGATTTACCTTCCCCTGGTTACGTTCGTGCAAGCATCGAATCTCAATTTCCAAGAGTGTCGTACTATTTTTATATAGCACAAAAAAAATGATATTAGCGTTAAATTAATCAGCAGTAATTAGGATTAAGGGCCGGTTGTTCCAAACTCCTGGTAAATTAACTAATAGGTAAATTATATATGTCTTTGTTCCTTCTTCAAATTAAATAAAGATAAACATATAATTTAACTAATTGTTAGCTTACCAAGGGGTTGGAGAAACCGGCCCTAAATCGATTATATACTCTCTATTTTGACTTCTCGACTTCTTCTCAGGTACGGAGAGGCTTGAGTACCAAGAATGCATTTATCATTAATTTCTAAGACTAGTAGCGTAATCGTGAAATATATTTGATACTATGTGTATTTTTTATTACGCCCGCCGACAGTTTTATTTTATATTTATGTATGTGTACTAGTGAAGTGATAAAGAAATATAGAAACGTATCAGTGACTCAACTAGTCCTCATTGATTTACACTTCTATTGCATTTCAAAAAATGCAGCAGCAATACCGTAAATACGAGGCTAGAACGATCCTCGTTAAGTTCTCTCTTTATATAATCATATCTAACAATAAGTATTATAATGTCGGATAATAATCTTACTAATATCCAATGCTACCTTTGATATTTAACTGTGAACGTTGCGATGAAAAGAATACGCGTTTTGAAGATAACGTTACTTCGCCGACGCAGAATCTTTCTCTGAAAAACGAATCTCTCTTATTATTATTAAAATTTACTTCATTATTAAAATCAAACGAATACGATTTTGTATTTGCAGATTCGCGATTCAATAAATTCCTGTTTTAATCAAACGCTATTCATGCCTTGGCATCAAAAAAGAAAAGAAGTAGAAACTATTTTTATTTGAAAAGTTTTGATTGAAAACTGCACCACATGCTGTGTAATAATAATTAAATTAGAAGGAAAGTAACGTTATCCTCTCAAATAATACTCTTCATCAGAAAGGAAACCTCATCGCGCAGGAAACAGTCTCGACCGAAACCGCGACCTTCCGTCCGGCTGAATTGGGGCTCTCATTAATTAGGGCTTTAATTACAGTTGCGGTTATGGTTCACCGCCGACGCTCCCCGATTATAGCGGCCGCATTCGAAGGCGTATCTGGTATATTACTAGGAAATAACAGTCTTTAAAATAGAGACAGCTCCATCGCGCAATCGCGAGAAGCATTATTTCGATATAATTGCATCTAATTTTGAAATTGATTAAAATGAGACACCCTGTATATTCGTATGAACATTTTCGCTTGAAATGACCGATACTATCACCTCCCAGAATATTGATCTTATTTCCTGGAACACCCTGTATAACTGCAAATCAGTGACTACTCACCGTTTTCAGTGATAAACCACAGGTCGACTTTTAGGGAGTAAATTAAATAATAATTATCTTGTAAATTGTGGCAATCGCGTATGGTGTTACAAAGTTGCGCGCAGCAGCGAGCGGTGAGGATGTTTAATGCTCGTCTTGGGAGGGGGAAAAACGAAGCTGGCGACGATATAAATCGGAGGTACCATTCTGTTGAGTGGCAAAAACGAGAAGACCATTGAAATCGTCACCTTTGCTGCTGGCTAGACTCCTTCGAGTATAAAAGTATGACTTAAACAAATCGTATATATAGTTCGAGTGCACGTTTTGTGTGAAGGGCGTGGTTTCGCACGTTTCTCGTGGCGCATTGTCATAAAACAGTGAAGCGCGAATGCCGAAGGCGAGATAAATACAAGAAGATAAGCCGCCGAGCGATCTTTCAGTGTTGCGTTACGTATAAACTGACTATTAACGTGAATCATTTAATATCCTTTCATTCTGTTTGTCCAAATTTATTGGAAAGTGTGAAGGAAAAGAGATGACGAAAATTCGACCAATGAAAATTATTCTACATTCGACAAAAGCCGAGAGAGGAAATGAACAAAGGCGCTATTGTGGAAAATGCAATTAAAATGTTTATTTCATCCTGAAAATATACATTTAAACAATAGAAGCGCAAATATCAGCTGTGTAATAGACCATTCTGTTTACTGCTAATAAAATTGCTTCCAAGGATATTAACAGAATAAAAAGTTTTAATGCATTTTTCTCAATAGGTGCTGTCGTTTATATCCTCTTTTCACTCGAATTCGTTATTAAAATTTTGTTAGTAAGCTATTATTAAAATTTAATACATCTTTTTAAATAAGTTGTCTCGACTAAAATTTAACAAGTTATAAATTTATTGCTTGCCTAATTTGTAGATTAAATTATCCAAATTTTCGATCTTTATTCCCATTATATATAAAGTGAAATATTGATCATGCGTAGCTCCTAATATCGCGCGGTAGTGTCCGGCAAAAGGATGAAGTTGCTAGTCGTATCTCTAGTCTTTGTGGCGACGATCACTATTGCGAGAACGCAAACCAGATACGCGACCAAACCAGGCGCGTGTCCACCTGCTTTACCTGTGCAGTTCTGCGGACGATCCTGCTACATTGACGCACATTGCGCAGGAAACGGCAAATGCTGTCCCACCCGATGCGGCGGTTCTGTCTGCTCCATGCCCGTCACGATGACGCGACCTACCCAGACAGGTGAGTAATCTCCACGTCGCGTTACTCCTAATTTGTCAGTTCAAAACAGAACCGCCGACTTCGACATTTTAAAGCAACCTCTTTTTCTCCGCGTATGTAATATTCGCAAGTTAGTATATAAAAGAAAATAATCTTTCCGCAGAGAAACCAGGATCATGCCCGTCAGTACCGACAGGGAGATGGGTGTGCACATCAGTTTGCAACAGCGACAACGATTGCAAAGGGAACTTAAAATGTTGCAAGAACAGATGCGGAGCCCTAGCCTGTCAGAAGCCGGAAATAGAAGCACCCAAATCCGATGAAATTCCAGACGAACCGATTGTCTCGCGCTTCGGAAACGATTATATCGACTACTACCCCTATAATTCCTGATTTTCACGCGCCCATTACACTTATAATAACTAATACACCTAGCACTGATCTCATATAACGATCACGTCACTGACATAATAAATTAATTTTAGTAATAATTTAATTTTTTGCGATTTTAACATTAAAAAATGTTTTCAATTTTATATCTGATCTATTAAGAATCTTTTCGTTTGTGATTCTTGCGTGACACGCGACAAGAAAGTAGCATGTAGCATATATTTAGTGTCGTAATAAAAATGTAATTCCCGCAATTATATTTTTATTGCAAGAAATTGGCAGAGATTATTAAACTGTCGTATACGTTAATAAAATCACTTGTATATATATATTTTATTTTATATCTGCCGTATCTCAAGATAAATTTTATTCATTAACAAAATAGATGAATAAAATTGTGAAAAGGAAGCTGTTGAAGTACCCGAAAGAGACATTTAATAAATCTCTAATTGATAATTCTAATAAACAGATTGGTATAATCAAAGGCCAAGGTTACGCAAGAAACAGCGTCAAGGAAAACGCACTTCTGTTACCAGTGGCGCATCTACAGACATGATTCAGAAATGCCCTCGGCGTATGATGTGTCGACACGATGTATTTAACTGCGCATTGACCTTCATTTTTAAATGATTGCTTTAGTAGGTAATTAAATATCAAAACGAACACCGCGTCAACTCCATGTAACAGCCTTGAATTTATTTTACTTGATTAATCAATACCTATTTAAGGTAATAAACAAAGACTGATTAACTACGAATAAACAAATCTCTCGAACAGCTGTTCATGAAGCACGGATTTGAAAGATTCACTAACGAGATTTGTGAAGACAGTTTAATTAATTGTGAGATAGTATCAGACGAAGTTTTATAATTAATTACACTTTCAATCAGCAATCGAAAATTAATTATAAACTTAAAAATTATTTATCTTATCTAAAATATTCGAATTTTCTTCAAGTTTACGTTATTCTCTAAGAATAAAACTAAATTCTAACTGCATTTAAATACTAACTAATTGTAAGTAAGAAAAAAACCCTCGTGTTGAAATAAATTAAGATAAATGTACAAAATTAGAAGCTACAAAACCTTAGTACAGTAACTTCTACTTCAACAGCAATCAATGGTATTCGATCTTAAGAAGGACGCAGATACTTCCTATTGCAACGTAAGCGAAACTACAATGTCAATTACGTGATTGAGACACTTAGCGGTGCATAATATCCACTTATGTCTCCATCGTTTACGTCACGACGCAACGTGCGGAGAAAGAAAGAAAAAGCACTCGAGTTCAAGTAAACGGTATCGAGGGAAGACTAGATCTGTTTTCACTATGGACGAGCACGATTTATTCGTTATGCCGCATCCTCCTTTCGTCGTGCACTCGCTCAATGCTAGAGTAGAGGTGGAAAACATTATAAAAGCCGATGCTCTTATCATCGCGCGTCTAGAAGCCTCGTCGGGATCTCGCCGCGGAGTTTTTTTTATCAAGTAATCGAGACCGGCTCATAATGAACCGTAAGTATTTAAATTATACAGCCTTGAAAGTTACACCGACGACGCGTCTCGTAAACGCGAACTTTCGCGTAACATCGTTAGCATAAATTTCAGTCGTAGTACGCGACGCTTCGCAGTTCCGGCGGCGATTTAGGGCCTGAGCAGAACGGCTGTTTTGTATTCTTAAGTCACAAGACAGTTTATTGTGCGTTACTTTAAGACAAATATTTAAAACATAACCCGGGAAAAAAATGAAAATATTTCATTATGTATGTCTCAATCATGTAATATTTATTGCAATATATCCAATTCTAAAATCATCAAATCTTCAGAGATCAGACAATTTTATTGAATATTCAATGTTATGTCTATTGAGATCTAATTAAAATTTCTTAATAGAACATTTAATTAGATTTAATTAGATCTCAATAGATAACCTCGAACATTCAAGAAAAGTGTCAAATCTCTGAAGATCTGCTGAATTTTAGAATTGGATCTCGTGAGATATAATTATAAGATATTACATGATTGAGACGCATATAATAAGATTTTTTGCATTTTTTCCCCCGAGAAAACATTGTCTTAAGAGTACAAGACAGCCACATTCTGCTCAGGCCCTCATTTGTAATTGCGCTACGGAGGCACTAAATCATTTTTTCACTTGTATTAAATGCATAAATATAATTGTCAACTTTGAAAATAATTGTACATTTATGTAATTAATTGTGCGTTCCAAAAAATTACGTGATATTCAATAGTTACGTGTTATCGATACTGCAATCGATTCCTGTATATTTCGCGGTTTTAAAGCCTTTCTTTCAAGGTGACGACGCTCAAATTGGAGTATGCTCTCATATTCCCTGGAATTGACACAGAGTTTGCGTGATTTTGCTTTCCAGGAAGCTTATTAGTGTTCTCGCTAGTGTTGGTCCTGCTGGTCGCCGGCACGTTCTCTCAATTGTTTTGTAAGTAAACACCTATCGTTTACGCGCAACACCGAGTGCGCAATTGCATTTTTGCGTAGCTCCCGCATACGAGTCTGGGAAAACCGATTTATTGTTTGCTTACGCTCTCTCTTAAACGCAGAATAGGACAAAAGCAATATAAATGTTTCGTGTCTTATATCTTTGGATATCAATTGGATGTAATTACTTATTTCTTGAAAATTCTTAGATTTCCAATACCTTATCATTGGAGAACTGTCGACACCTCGAATTTCTTGCCTAACAAGATTCGAACTTCGTACAAGGAAAGTTATATGTACTCTTTTTCTTGAAAATCTCCTGTTATGAACGGGGACTTAAAAATTTCATAGCTTAGACTTGGTTCTCTCAGGAAACGCATATCTGCGTATCAGGAAAGAGAGTGACGGTGCGACACGGAGAACCTTAATGGATACTTAAGGCTACGTAATATTCAATTATAGCATCCTTGCGTGCGTCCACGTCGACGAAATAAATGAATCGATTGTGACTCTACAACTTGCGGTCAATTTGCAACGCCATTAGCAATTTGCCTGCGATACCGTCATCTAATCAAAGCGTGCGGAAAGATAGCGCGATTATTTCTTAACCCATCAGTCGTCATTTTTCGTAACGCGAGTTTTCCACGATATAAACAATTATTTTTTCATATCAAAAGAACTAAACATTTTCTTCGTTTAATTAAATTTTCGAGCATGTAGAATGTGAGAAAAAGATCTTATTTTGAAAATAATATTAAAGACGACCGAACGATGACCGGAGGATTAATGACGCAAATAAAGTAATTATAACATAACGAACAATTAGCGAAAGATTATTTATAACGCCAATGATAATTATACATATAACAGACGTTAACAGCGTCGAAAGATTAATCATGAGAATTGTAAAAGTTAAGAAGAAACGGTCGCTCCTACAAATTAATCCAAAAATCGCAGAAAAGTTCCTATTAACATTTTGAGCGCCACGTCACGATACGCGTAAATTTCCACAAAGATTCCCGCTGTTTATAATATTAGAATATAGTCAGATTACCTTACATTACATGCAATTTCGATGGAAATAAATAAGTGTCTTATTAATTTACATTGAAATTGCATGAATCTAATGTAATCTAATATAATCCAATCATATTTTATCTATTATTGTAAACAGGACCGTCTATTTGCAAGTGACGGTCTTATTTATCAGATCAAAAATAAATCTACTAAGTATTCACGATATTACAGAAATAGCGAGGGATCAACCGCCGAGGTCATTCTGGTGTATATATTTGCGGCATTACTGGATATTACTACACTGAGAAAAATGTCCGATTAAATATAATCGGACAATCTATTTACATATAAATAACAAACGGGCATATCCAATTAAAAATATAATCAGTTTTTCAATCAAATTTCATTGGTAACTGCATTTCATCGGATAAATTTCACCGGATGTATCCATAATTTAATCGGAAACCGTAATCGGAAGAATCACCCATCGGAAACACTAATTAATTGGTTCATTCGATGAAAATTTTTCTCAGTGTAGGCATTTTCTGGGCGTTAGTGTGGGCATTAGGCCTTGCTGGGGCATTATAAAGATAAAATAAGATAAGACAAATCAAGATAATAAAATTAAGTAATGCCTACTGGGCCTTAGTAGGCATTGGTGTACCTAATTTTGATCAGCGGTTTACCCCTCGAGAAATAGCATACAAATTTTGTCAAGACATTCAAAGAAGCGACCAAATGTTACTCGGGAAAAAATGGAAATATCTCATTATATACAAGTATGTTTCAATCATGTACTTAATATCTACTTATATCCAATGCTAAAATTATCAGATTTTCAGAGACCTAACAGAGACTAACACTTTTATTGAATGTTATTATTTATTGAGATCTAATTATGTTTTCTTAGAACATTTCATTACAAATTTAATTAGATCTCAATAGATAACGTCGAACATTCAAGGAAAGTGTCAAATCTCTGAGGGTCTGATGATTTTTAGAATTAAATCTCATAAGATATAATTCGATATTATATGATCGAGACATACTCGTATATGTATAATGAGATTTTTGTCCATTCTTTCCCGGATAAAGTAACATACTAGATTTATCAAGTTTATCTCGGCGTTCAAAGTGTCAATCATCCTCGATTATTTCTCAGACAAAAGCGGCAACTGCCCGATGAGAAACACCGTGACCAATTGCGGCTCCAGGTGCATGGGTGACGGAGAGTGTCCACACGATCAAAAGTGCTGCCCGAACAAATGTGGCTTCACATCGTGCGCCAACACCAGCCCCGTCAACACTGGCAACGACGGCGGGTACAAGGGCTCGAGCAGTACGTACACACTCAACGTCCTGTTTTTACCGTAGAATCAACCCTTTGCGGTCCTTACGCCGAGCCGGACCGCCCGTCACGATTACAATCAGCGAATCGCGTTTTTACAACCTTCAAACAAGTGCCTTCAGATAAAAATAGATTCCTCGATTCACGTTTGATCCACCGAGCGGAGATCGCGAAACCAAAAAAAATACTTGATCTCTGCTTATTAGCGAGAAGTGATTTCAACCGCAAAGGGTTGAAACGCGCTCGGACGCAGCTGTGTCTTAAGCTTATTCTACAATGGACACAAAATTGTAGAATAAGCTTAAAGAAACGCAACTCTCGTCGGCCTCCCGAAGCGTCTCGAATCACCACGAATCACGTTCCATCGCGTATTTTTGCAGATCAGCAGGTCGTTTACTGCAACGGGGTGAGGTGCGCCCCGTACGAGAAGTGCCAGTACGATCGCATCACCAGGCGCGACAAGTGCACGCGCGTCTAAAGGTCGAACTTCCCGGTCGTCTTCGGTAAATGAGTTTCTTCGTCTCGATCGCACACCGAGTTTAAAATGCTTTGAAATTAAAGGATTGAGCTACGGACGAGAGATACGTTCGGCGTGCATTTGCATGCCGCGTTAAATTGTCATAAGATATTTCTGACGATTCAATGGAAAAGTCAACCGCGATACGACAAGTGTCTAAATATTTGTCAGACACCCACCTGTATTTGCGTTGATTTAGCAATAAAATACGTACGAAGGCTAAATACACGCGTCTTTCATTCAGCGTGATCTCAGTCGAACTCGGATCAATCGGCGCTTAACTTCAAGCGACACCCGCGATATTTTACAATCTTCTACCTCGACTCAATTAATCGATCAAGTTCGGTCAAATGTAACTTTAATGTACATACAATCTCGGCTTAACTTACTTTTTATCTCTTTCTAATTCTCAGAACGGGAAAAAGATGAAAGGTAAGTCAAACTTAAACGCGCGTCTCGATAATCGCAACGCTCGATGTCGAGCGGTCAACATTAGTCGATAACCGACAACGTAGCTGACAGAAGCCTGAGAGCTGCCACGGCCGGGTTTTAGATGATCCTCGAATACGATACGACCTCTGTGGACATTGGAAAACGTGGGCATGAACTACCAATATCCACAATTTGCCAAGTGGGTAACGCAAAGCAAAATTTTGTATCAAACTTGTACTCTTTTTGCCGACAAAGTTTGTAGTAGATTCTTCTTCATAAACTTGACTGTCTATATATTTTATTATAACTTTGCATTTTTCTGGTTATAAATAAAATAATGCCTCTCTTTTAAGTCTGAATTAAATTTTTATCCGATAAAAACAGACCAACTTGTAGAGGCCCTCCACCACCCCCGCCGTGTTTAATCGACGGTCCTCTTTTCTTTATCTTATTATTATTTATTTTATTTTTCTTATCGTTTACTTTACAACGCATACGATATTATAGATGAAATAATTATATTATAAAATTAAATATATAATATCTGCATAATACAATATTTCTCTCGACGTTACATATGAAATATTCAATATGCATAACATAACATGAAATTCTTGCAATTTAAAATATATACATATAGCATGTTTGGAATAAAAATATCCAGAATGTATTTATTAACGATCTCTTAAAAGTAAATAAAATAAAGAATTTAAATAAATTTAAAGTAAAAACTTAACAAACGCATTATAACTTCCATGTTATTATATGCATCCGATTGCGTATTGAATATTATATATTTCTAATTACTACAACTAATGTTGCAAAATTTTAAATAAATACAACAAAATTATAATGTAATGTTTCTAATAAGTATTTTAGTGTAATTTAATACATTTTATTAAAAGTATTATATATTTTATTAGAAATATATTTCATTAAAAGTAATTTATCAAAAATAATTGCAGATATCATTATATTTTATAGTAACACATTGCAGTAATAATTTTATCTATCTTTTTAATTATCGAGTTATGTCCCCCTGTCCCTGCTTACCCGCATTCCGCTGTATAGTCCTATCCACTTTCCTACCTACCCGCGCTTAAACTTTTTGTTAATAAACTTACAAGTCTTTCGTTAAAACCGCGACGCGATTTACAAGAGGCCCTATTTGGGGTCATTTTACCTACTCGTATTCCGATCTATAGACCTACCTATCCATTTTCTACCTACCCGTGTTTCAACATAATGAACAAATCTTTAATTAACCCCGACGCGATTTTCTAGGGGTTTGACTTGGAGTTTAACGCGCCCACGGGATTTAATAGATTCACTCTCGCACATATGCGAGAATGTATGTATATAGAAGCATAACCCACCCGAATTGTGACAAATAAAAAGAAATCAAAGCTGTACGTCGTACAGCACCTCGCTTACTCCATCAGAGTGGCCAATATTGACCACTTACTACGTCTTTCTTCGTTGGACCAGATTGGACCTACCTTTCGTTGCTCCTGGCCATACAGCCTGGTCATTTTGACCAGAGATCAGGAAGGAAGAAAACTCCTTCCATAGTCGGTTATCGTCGCCGACAAATATTTCGTACGGTTCGAATATACGAGTGTCGATTGTATCGCAAAACGCACGACCACGAGAAGTTAATTAAAAAAGAATATTAATTCAAAAAACTTTACTGTATATACGAATCAAATTTATCTTTACTTCCGTTATTTGTGCAAAAATATTGACCATTCCTTCGTAACTTGATCTTCGAATTCGAAATTTCAGTAGATATAGAAAAAAAATTTACTTCGCGTTAGAGCGATTTTAATCATATTCCACGATCAATTAAAATTTATAATATGGATAAAATTAGGCAATTAATAATTTCTTGAAAATTTTTCTTGAAAGACCGATCGCGAAAACCGACCGCGAAAATACAAAGATGCGTGTGACTACTCTGGGGGGAAAAAAAGTCAGTTACAACCCATTTTGGGGCCCACAATTAGTAATCGAATTATTTAGATTGTTCGTAACTCTAATCTTTTACGAATTTTATCCCGCGTAACTAAAAATCACAATTAGCTGTTCTATCTATATCCAAGATATTAAAGTAATACTAATCAATTCTCTCAATTAGTTCTGTCGATGTTCAGTAACGCAAAGATAATTTTCACTTAAGTGGCAATAACCGAAATGTTAAGTTACTTAACTACATCAAAAAACGGTCATTTTTCCCAGAGTAGAGTTACGAACAATCCAAATAATTCGATTACTAATGGTGGGCCCCCAAATGGGTTACAACTGTCTTTTTTTTCCCAGAGTATGCATGTACTCATGCAAGCCGCATCTTGAAAGTACGTATATCACGTATGTACACCCTCAAAAAGGATTTCTGTTATCGAGACACAAAATATTCTTGACGCATTTATATTTCTCACCTCATTTGGTATAAAAATAAGACAATATCAAAATAAAATCGATAATTCTTATTCTCCTCTATCGAATTAAAAAAGATTGACTTACTATATTGAGACAAGACTAATTTAAATAAATGTAAGTTTATATATTCTTGCGTTTAGAATAAATTTTTCCTCCGTTTTACAACGCACGAAGTTGGCACCACGATATTCGACAAACGACGATACATACTATCGTTTTATTCTAGATTTTAGAATCTTTCATTTAAGATTAAAATACTCCTTTTCTCTATAATAAATATGATTGGCGCTATATCGATCTTATTTTATGATACATTCAAGTGTAATAACATTGGATCCGGAATTTTTTTCTGTGGATGTACATACACACATACAAAGAATAAATGATGTGAGATCTAGACAAACGAAACTTCTTTCACGCAAATAATATATAAAAATTAGTTAAAATTTCAGTGTTCTCGACAAAATATGTAATTAGGATCTCACGTCATATTATTTGTAGTATGATAGCATATTTTACTTTATACAAACAATAAAACAGTTTCCGACTTACCGACCCGATGCGCAGCAGCGGAGTTTGACTACGTTGATTCTGAAACATATAATTACAAAAATCACATTAAAACAGAGTATTCCACAAGATTAATATTAAAGAAAATAATTCTTAAATTATTTAAAATAAACAAGAAGAAGATTAATTTTATACAAAATAAAAACTATTTATCGCAAAATTGTCTTCCGGCACACTAACATGCATATTTCTGAGGGCTCGCAATGAGACTCGCTCTCGCCCGCCATAATTCAGAGATGTATTATTACGAGAACCCACGATTTATAGAGGAGAATCCCCTATTATGAGATAGGCTTTTAATGCGAGATAGCTGCTGGTTTTCAACGTTAAAGTTCAATCACAAATCTTTTTTTCGCAACGATTACACGATCTAATAACAATCAATTTTCCACTAAACAGATTTCAAGAGCAGTAAATTCACGGTGGAACCAATAGATGATGCTTGTTAATTTACCAGAAATCCTGCTGTCTCATATTAGGAACTCTCATAATAAAGGACATACGTAAATTATTCGGCGGGCACTCACGCGAATACTTCGAACGAGCGAGTTGAGTAAACGGAACGACGGGGTAAAACAATCCGCGAAGTGAACGTTAACGCGAGAATAGTGCACAAACAATCGTACTCACCACAGTGTTGCTCCGCCGTTGCCCGATGTCTCCTAGACCGCGGCCTCCTCTCAGACTCCTCCATTTCGCACTGGCACACGCGACACTCGCGAAAGACACACGGCACTCCCGGCGTTAGTCGACGCGGACGTCACTGCAACAAGAACGAGAGACACTCGCGCGAAATGACGGGAACGTCCCGGCGTTGATCGACGCGGACGTCACTGTAACAAGAACGAGAGACACTCGCGCGAAATGACGGGAACGTCCCAGTGAGAAATGATTCGTCGATCGACGTCGAAATGATGTCGAATCGACGTCAATTCGACGGTGTCGACGTCGATTCGACGTCGATCGACGAATCATTTCTCACTGGGGTCCCGGCGGTAAGGACTCGCGGAGACGCGCGAGGTTAACTTTGACGCGCGTCGCGTTCGACGGGGCGATTTCGCGCGAACGTTTCTCTCGCCGCGCATCACGCGTGGAGAACGCGGATATTACTGCACGCGCGAGGAGATGCGGATTAAAGTCAGAGAACTCGGTGCACTTGTGTCGCGCCAAGATACGACGGCGCCGTGGCGACGCGACGCCGACCGCGCGTGACATTTCGGCCGGGATTTCTCAGATCTACGCGTGGATTATCGACGCGCGAGGATCGAGTCTACGTCGCGCGCTTGTTAAACCGGGACAATGGTAGACTTACCGCGATTGTGCGTACGGTGAAGCACGACGACCACCGCACGAGACCGATTCACTGCGTGTCCACGACGCTCCTCGAATGGACCAACACGGCGCCATTCCCGGCGGTCACTGCGCGGCGCTGTTACGGCGGTACTACGCGAGTCAAGTCAACGACGCGACGTACCGCGAAAAGCGATATAGCTTCTCTCTTCCGAGGAACGAAAACGACGTCCCGCGGCACCTGCAGAATCGATCGGCTCGATCGCGTGGCTGTGGCGTCGCTTAATTACGCGGGAAATGATCGCGCACATCGCCCCGTGGCGTACGTACCGGCGGCTCGAACGATACTGCGAAGCGCGTAGCGTCAACGTCCTCTGATCACGCGGCGGTCGCATGCGGCGCGGCGGCTCGACGTAAACAATCGCCGAGCGACGCGCGGGTATGAAAAACATTAAAACAATTTTGACGAGTAACGATCGATACGCGTACCTGCTCTGCGGCGCTACGTCATTTCTTGGAATCGATGCTCGGTCTACGGGCGCTCGGCAAAACAAAGTCACGCCGTACGCAGGATTATTCACGCGGCGTCAATTGAACGCGTCGATTATGCCCGCGCGCCGTCCGCATATCGTATTATTTCTTGATACGCGTTCGCGAAAGTTTGGAAAGAAACCGCGATCGCTCTTTGTGAATAATCAGCGATCGATATCATCGCGCGATCGCTGAATCCCGGCAACTTGCCATCGATACTCGGTTAACCGACAAGCCAAATATTTCACGCGATTCACACATAAGATCTGTACATCTAAGGCTGGTATTACATTTGTCGTACGACAAAGTTTTTAAGCGTATTGATTGGCTGAAGGATAGTAAAATTCTCGAGTATCTAGAAACTTTCTATTCAGCGGCCAATCGACACGCTTGAAAAATTTGTCGTACGACAAATGTAATAGTACCCTAAAGCCCGTATCAGACTACGGATTGGGATTGGGATTAGATTGAAATTTA